GGGGCGTCAGCCAGCCCCACGACAGCCGCCTGCATCACGCTTGCCCGTCCGGCTCGAGGAGGAGCGTGCTGCCTGTTGAGACCCGCCTGGACCAGGCTCTTTCTTTTCCTGTCAGATTTAAGGGGTTGTTTTGGGGTTTTTTGCAGCTTGTGGTTTAACCTTTAACTGCTTTTTAAAAAAACCCACATTTTCAGGCTGTAGGTGAACTCGTGTTTACCTCCTGCCCCAGCTTTGTCACCTGGATTCATGTGAAGTGCTTCGCGCTGCGGCTGGGAAGCGGGGCCAGCACATCCTCCTGCGACAGCTCGTACCGGATCCTGCCCAAGCCCCACCACGGCAGCCCCAAACAGCAGCGGTCAACGAGGAGACCGGCTGCGCCCACATGCGCCGTACCCCTGCCCGGTCCCAGCCTGGCAGCTCAGCCAAGCCACAGGCAGATCCGGGAGTCCAGGAGCCACCATGGATTTCACCACCAAAGCTCCACGTTAGAAATCAATCCAGAGAAGCCGATGACAAGTGCAAATCTCTCCTCCCGGCCCTCCCCAGGCAGCAGCATTGTCGCAGAGCAGCTGAATATTGGTTTACTCCAGTCCCAAGGGAAGCGAGGATGCCACTAGCCTCCAAGTATGAACACAAAAATGTGCGTTAGGAATTTACTCCTCAAATCTAGCAATTTAGACGGGAGAGCCTCGACTCCAAATTCCATTACGTCTCATTAATCTCTATCACTCGCTCAGCTTTTAAAGTTAAGAGTTCCCCAAATGGCTCGGTTTTGTTACTCCTAAACAAAACAACAACCCAAACCCCTGTGTGCGTTTGTGCTTCGCAAAGCTCCCCTGATGGCAGCGTTAGGATCGGGGTTGGCTTTCCAAGCCGGGAAGCTCCGCAACGATGCCCTGAAGTTATTTCCTCAGTATCCAGCCTTCCCCTTCCCCACCTCAGCCTGTGTTTCGGGGCTCTGGGGACAGGCAGAGGGACAGCAGGACACAGAGGAGCCTGGGACCTGGCCGTCGCCTGACCGTGCTGGGACGGCTCCCTGGGGACACGGGGACCGAGCTGTCCTGCCCACGCACCTCGGCAGCAAAGGTCTCGCTCCCAGCATCGAGGCTCCTCCTCGGCTCTGCCCACGCCGCAGCGATGCCCTGCCACGGTGGTTTGCTAAGTCTGCGCTGGGCTTCCCCTCGCAGAGGGTCAGCTACGGCTCAGGGACGGGGTTTTATGGCGGCTGCAGGGCTCCGTCCCAAGCCAGGCTTTGCCTTGCCATCAGTCACTTTCCCTTTTACTCCTTAGTCTGTTCTTTGAAAACATCACCATTTACCCACCGACACGTGCTCGTGTCTCGGATGGACGCGGTCCATCTCTCACCTAACACAAGCGAGAGGCTTCCAGCGAGCAACGAGGTCTGTTTAGGATCTCCAAAGTTCTTCACCCATGTAATACCCAAAACGTGAGCAAGGGGGACGCTCTGCTCGCTGCTGGGCCCCACCAGGAGAAGTTTCTTCTGACCAAGTACAACAAACGGAAAGGCTCCCTCCGAACACAAGCTCCAGGTTCGTTTATTTACTGGGCTACGAAGCGGCAAGGACTAAAAGGGAGGGAGGCCTCGCGGGACCGACAGCTCCTCTCAGCTGTCCCGGGTGTGGACTGCAGCTTCTGATCTATTTCAGAGCGACACAGCGTGTTTGATCTGGATTTTAATACCTCACTTTTTTGGACAGCACATCTTCTGAGATGAAAGCTTAGCGTCCCTCATGGGGACGGCATGAAACGCACATGCCTCTAGTTAAGGCAGAGGGAGGGAAAGCCAAGCCCCACTGCCTTCCACCCAGGCAGGGTAACCGCTAGACTTTCGCCTATGAAATCCACATTAAACGAAGGTTTTCTTAGTAATTAGCTCCCATAAAGACTAATTTTTGTTTGATATGTTGTGAGGGCTTGTCCCATTTCTGCGTCTCTTGACTGAAGGACTCAAGGCGACCCTTTCCGTGCCTGGCAGCGGGGAGACGTCGCACAGCTCTGCCAGGGACCCACCTCTGGACGCCCAGGGAGGGCGAACTTGGTGGACAGACACAGCCCAAGAGGGGGATCTCGACCCACAACAGGAGACACGACCAAGGAGTCCAGAAATGACCCTGCACCCCTGGGTCTGGACGGTTCGGGGTCCCCTGAAGCACATTAATCAGGAGAAAGCCCCCACGAGCGCGAGGCAGGCTCGGAGCAGGGTCTCACCAGCAACGGGAGCCGTCGGTGCGGCACGTGCCCCTCGGTTCGGGTCTGCGCATCCGCCTGCGCAAACCTCTCAGCTGCTGGCGAGTCGGGGTTCCTGGAACGGGGCTCAGCCACATAAAGCCCCAAAAA